CCCCAAAACCCCAAAACCCCAAAACCCCAAAACCCCTTAAAGAAAAATTGAGATTGAAAAAATAATGATAATAAAGTCTTTACCGTTAATAACAGTGATTTTATACACAAAAGCTTTTGAAAATGTGCCTGACAGAAAATTGATAAGTAGTAGTCCTGCAACATGAAGAAGCTGAATTAATTATTCTTCAACTAGATGGCGAACTTCTACTGGCCTTTTAAAAGGCTTTGGAGATTGTTGAAACTCTTACGATTACTTAGGTTATTGCGCTGGCGGAAGTAGCTTTGTTTGATCAAACTCTAACAAGATTGACAGTAAAGGAGCCCTGATACTCTGCCCTTATAGCTACTTTGATTGTTCGATAAGAAGTTTGTCTATTGGAGAGATTGGAAAGACATATACACTGAACAATAGCAATATACCATATAATTCAGTGTGAAACTATAGGCTATATACATCCAATAGTGAAGTGAATACAGTTGAGATCGAGCTTGGTAAGGGTCATAAATTTCTGATAATTTCTTGTTCACTTTTTGTTCAAACTTTTAGCATTTTCTCGGAATCAAGGGGTTAGAGTTAAATATTGCTGAGTTAATAGCATTTAGATGCTAGTTTGTCATCCTTTTGGTGCTTCTTGAGATATCTCGGATTAGTTTTCCAAGATATTTTAGGATTCGTAAACAATTTAGGATTTGAAAAATTAAGTTCGATGTTATATCCTTGCTTTGTTTTAATTAAATTAAGAAAAGATGAAGAAGAAATGCTGTGTTTTTATTAAGTTTTGATAGCTTATAAAGGACAAGTCTTAAGATAATATTTTGCTATATTGTGACACTAAGGGAAGAGGGAGTCATTGAAGCCATTGGAATGTCTCTAAATTGATCAAACATGAGTATAACCTTATTTTCCACTATATACTTCAAACCCCTCAAAAAATACATCAACACCTCAAAACCTATCTCTAAAACACCTAATTACAACATTAGCTACCTCCTAGTCTTCCATCCCCTCACCTCCCTCACCTCCCTCTCTTCCTTCCTCTCTAAACCTCCATTCCCAACCCCCCAAATCTTTCCCATGCCCCTTCCCAATCCCCAAACCTCGCTTACACTATCCCCTTCCCATAGTCAGCCTAATCGGCTCTAACATAACAATTTTCACGAATCCTTCAGGGAAGGACTCGTACACCTACAGTGCCAAGATGAAGGCAGGCAGTAGTAGGAGGGTGTCCCTTAATGAGTATTATGATGTTTATGTGCTGGTCGAGCCTGATGTGAGCTATAACAACTTTAATATTACTCTGAAGCCTTCTGGAGGTATCTCTCAGTAAGTTACTTAATTATTCTCCATAGTACGAAGACTGTTTGGATCGTTTTAGGAATCTGCTCTGGAGCTTGCTGTCTCTGCTTCTGCTGCATCCTGGCTATATGTATTTGAAAAAAGAAGGGATGTTGTCTTTGTTGCATTAATAACCATCAAATTCATCCAGGAAATTCTGAAGGTGTTAGGCTATACAATCGCCCAGATAACCAAAGTCAGCCAATGCCACAGATTTATGATAATGGTGTTGTCTCTGGTGGTCAAACGGGAGCTAGGGTCAATGCATCCTACCAAATCCGTATGCCCTTTTAATCTTTTAGAACCCCATAATTATCTTGGTACTACTCAGAATATGACTACCAAGCAGGTAACATGTCAATGCCAATGTGGGCATATACACTGAACGAAGGTATACTCCAACAACACTCCAGATTTATCAACCAGTAAGGCTCGCCTTAACTTCATAGAGCATCAACCCAATCATGGAGTCCAAGAAGGCCATGATAATCTTAACGAAGAAGAGAAAGAGGAGAACCAAAAGATTCATTCTGAATAATAGGTCATCGAATTCAACTGGAGTCCAAGATTAGGGGTTTTGGGGTTTTGGGGTTTTGGGGTTTTGGGG